CTGCTGTTGATAATTACCGTCAAGGGGCAATTGGAAGCAGTGACAAACCAACACAACTGGCATGCCCAGTTGTCTGTGGGAGTAGTGGACAGTGTGGTAACAGTGGCTCAGCTGGTGGATGGTAACTGGTTACCAGAAAAATTGGTTTGTGAGCATCAACTCACAGTTGGGCAGGCTGGAAAAGATGTATCTTTGTTGCTACAGACTTTAGGGTGTGAATTCTTTGAGATCTAAAGGAGAAAGAAGGCCTTTTTTATCTCATTGCCTAAGTAGGCGATGTTGCTAACGACTTCAATAAGGTCCTCAAATTACCATACTACATTAATAAACAGAGGAAAGTTTGGGAAATCCAGTATTGCTTGGTTTATATTTAGTGATCTTCTAATCTTTTTTTTAGCACTGAGCTGTTTGTAAGCCTGAGAAGTTTACAGATTTTCTAGGAAAAGACAGAAAGTTTTATAGGACTCTGTAATGGTCCTCAATCACAGAATGTAAGTTCTTGTCTTTGCATTTCCCAATTTCAGTGTTTATTTACTCAAATGGACATTCAAGTGTCCAAATATGTAATTTAAACATGGAGGTACCAATGAGGTTGCTCAAATGGGAGAAAAAGTTGCTAGGTAACTTAAAAGTCTTAAGTGCAAAAATGAGCTCCCTGGTTTAGCTGGCTTTTTCATAGATGTCATGCTGCCTTTCACAGTTGTATCCATAGATTACATAATCCACATTGGTCCTTTTGTTGTTCTTTTGTTTATGACTTTTTAAAGAACATATTATGCTCTTTCAATTTCAACTATAATTTTATTTATGATCATTTTGTAATTTTTGGCAGGTCTCTGGAAGTTTTTGTAAGACACTGTGTACGATTTGCTTAGTTTGTTAAAGAAAAATTGCATGATAAAGGGGCCAAATTCAACTCCTTTGTACTCCTAGAAGAGCATGAAGGGGCATATAGAGGTAGGCCAGGTTTCTCTAGATTTAGAGGAAATACAGATGACTTTGCAAAATTGCTTTCTATCAGCTGGAAGGCTTTATGGAGGCAGAATAGAGACATTCCAACCGCTAACACTCTGTGATGATGTGATTCTGTGATTTTCGAAGTGCTGAACCAGAAGTCCAGATACATGTTTTTGCACAGAATCAATATACACAAATGTCATAATCTTACTGGAAGTCTCACCAAGGCTTTGATGAATAATAGTAATACATGATTTCTGCCTGTTATACTACTGCGTTCAGTCCACTGTTTAACCACACCAATTCCTTCAAGAAACACCTGGAAAAACAGCACTTGCAGTGTGCTGATACAGGTCAAAGATTGTTTCAGATTGACAGGAAAATTACCACAGCTTTATTTTTGTTTAGTGCATGTGCTCACTGCTGGCTTCAGGTCTGTCTTTCTCATAGTCTTAAATTGAACTCTTCAGCAACCCCACACGAAACAATTTTATGTATTTACATTCTCTGGTGCTGCTAGCAAGTCTACAGTTAAAAAATCTGGCCACTGTGCAGCCTAGTAGATTCATTAGTTATTCTGCATATAGAATTTCCCTTCTTGGTGCATCTTTCACGTCCCTGCGTTCCTGATGGCTCACAGCCCTGGGTTGTTTGTTCTGGTTTTAGGAGAGTAAGCAGAAAGTAGCACCATGGAGGCAAGCTCTGTCCTGTGTTTTGGCTGAACTCAGCTGCCAGTGAGGAAAGAGAACCTTCTTCTGTCATAGTACAGATGGCTGTTCTGGAGCATTCCATGGGCTCTCAGGGAGTAACCTCAGTGCAGTTTCTAGTGTAAAAACAGGTGAAAGAGATTGGCAAGACCTCAAATGGGAACAGAGACAACAGAGCCATGTGCAAAAAAAACTTCCACAGAAATTGCAATATTTACTATTCAATACCTTACTCATTATTTCTTCAGAATGATGGTTCTGAGAACTTGGGCGACTTGCATAATTCTTGCAGAATCAGAAAAGAAAACTGAAGCAAGTATAGCCTCTTCATATGCTGCTATATATGATTAATAAGTAGTTCCTGACAGACAGAGAAAACTGTTTAATACCTAGTGTGCTAATGGCACACAGTAGGATGCAAAAGATTTGGTATGATGCTCTGGGCTTTTGATTGGACTGTAAGTCTTGGTCCTTTTCTTTCAAAGTTGTTGCCTAAGCCGTCTTTTCTTGCCCCAAAAGAAGAGGCAATCCAATTTAAAAGTTTTGTTGCAAATGCTTGATAATGTCTCATGTTTGTCTGCAGTGCACTTAAAAATAAAAAAAAATATGCAGTATGGTGAGGCTATTGGTTGCTGGTTGTGAATTTTTGGGTGGTCCAAGCCAGTATGTAGGAAATCAAGTAAAGGCTATCCTAGAGAAAAGTAGAGTCACTGTCCAAACATACAGAGATGGGGTTAGAAAAGCCAAAACCCACCTGGAGATGAATTCTGATGAGAGATGTTGAAGGTCTACAAGAAGGGCTTCTACAGGTGTATCAGCAGCAAAATGAAGACAAGGAAAATGTGTGAACGGTGCAGGGATTTTTCTTTGCATTGATCTTTACTGGTAAGACCTTCAGCCTTCAGGAATCCAAGGCCTCTGACATCAATAGGGAAGTCTGGAGCAAGAAAGACTTATACCTGATGGATGATGACAAAGGTAGGGAACATTTAAATAAACTAGCTGTGCACAAGTCCATGGGGTCTGATGGGATGCACCCATGAGTGCTGAGGGAGCTGGTGGTTGTCATTGCAAGGCCACTCTTGATTATCTTTGAAAGATCATGGTGATCGGGGGAGATTTCTGAGGACTGGAAGAAAGCGGATGTCACTTCTGTCTTCTGGAAGGGGAAGAAGGGAGGGTGTGGGGAACTACAGGCTGGTCAACCTTACTTCAATCCCTGGGAAGGTGACGGAGAAATAATTCTGGAAACTATTCCCAAATATACCAAAGACAAGAAGGAGCAGTCAGCATGGATTTACAAAGAGGAAATCATGCTTGACCAAACTGATAGACTTCTAAGAAGAGATGACTAGCTTGGTGGATGAGGAGAGAGCATTGGGTGTTGTTTATCTTCACTTTAGTAAGGCTTTTGACACAATTTTTCGTAACATTCTCCTAGACAAGCTGATGAAGTATGGGCTAGATAACCGGACAGTGAGGTTGACTGAAAACTGGCTGATGAACTACCAGGCTTTTACAGTTCTGGTCAGCAGCACAAAGTCCATATGGAGGCTGGTGACAAGTGGCGTGTCTGTCATGGAACAGCAAAGGCCAGCTGCTTAGAGGGACTGGAAGCCAGGAGCCATACACAGTAACACAGCCTGTAGGGCTGGGGCCCTGTCAAGCGGGGGACCCGTACCTCAATGAAGTGACCGAACAGGCCTGGGATAGTCTGTGGCCAGGCTGGACAGGAGTAGAGACTGTGTGTGATTGTGCAAGGCAGCAAGGTGATTCTTCATTCACTATGAGTGTGCTAGCTGTGCTCTACCTCTGAACTACCCTGTAAGTACTACACTCCAGAGAGTAGAATGACATGTTTTGAGTAACCTTCTTCTTTTAGACCCTCTCATTTGCACACATTTATAGCCATATTCTATGGTGTATGTCACTGCGTATTAAATAGAGATGAGTCACTTGACAGGGAGAAGACCCAGCTATAGGGCTCTGGGATCAACCCAGGTGCTCTTCTGAATTGTGTGGAATCAATACTAGCCACGAACAAGAACACCAGGCTTTTGATGTTTGTTCCATACAACCTGAAGGTTTATTTTTCACTTACCACAGTGCTCATAATATCAAGAAATGCAACCCTCTGGCATTTTAGGAGATTCAGGTTTGGATAATGCTGCATAGTTAAGAGTTCCAAGCACTGGGTTTCTTATTTCAAAGTAAAGGGCAGTGGATTAATCTTTTAGATGTGTAGGTGTGCTTTTCTGAGGTGTTTGCTTCTGCTGAGATATTTTGACATGTGATTTTTTCCCCCCGTTGCTAGTATTAATGATAACATGTATTGAGATGTGTAGAATGAGACCTTTGGGTATCAATTCTATTTTGCTTTATCCTAGTTGTATGATTATGTTAATTGCCTTTGGCTACCTCAGCAATGAATCCAGGTTAGGATAATAATCAGGCTCTTTGCTTAGGTCACAGATGAGTACTTGCACTTAGAAGGTATTTGCCATGCATTTGTTCCCATCATTTGTGTGTAATGAGAGGTTTCCACATCCCTGTAAAGCATGACTGATGATGGCATCCAACTGGCCTAATTACCAAGAATGTTTTATATTACAGGCTTGGATGAATTATTTTAATTTTTACAGGTGCTAGCAGTTTAGATCTTTGATTAAATGATTAATTGTGACACTGGCCCAGAAAGAGCTTTGAACTGGAACATTGCCTTGATGCTACACATAGATACACTCAAAGGTTTATTTTCCTTGTGGTGTGCTTCAAAGAGTATTGTTGCTTAGTTCCCAAACTTTGGTCAGGTTTCATGCATTCAGAAATTATGAGGCCAGAACTGTATAATATGATCAACCAGCCTGGCCTCCTGAATCACATGGTTCATAACATACCCCCAGGTATTTTATTTAAACTGATGCCTACTTTTCAGAAAAGGGTGCTGGTCTGTGCTAAAAATTGACAGCTGGGAGCAGTCTACCACAACTCTTCCTGAACTGTCCCAGGAACAGTTACAAACTTCATCTCCATTTTCATCTGAATTTGTTGAAGCCAAGTTACCAGCCAGGAAACGTATGTACTTACTACCACACTAAATTCAAGAGTCCAGCATCAATTCTTTGGTGGTGGTTTTTTTTTTTTTTTGAATCTACTTGCTTAGGGTTGGTATCATTTAGCCATCTAAAAATTAAGCATTTAACCTAAGTTAGGAATTTGGCCTCAAAGAAGAAAGATGGGCACTACCTGGAAGTGATTCATTCTGCTTGTCTGAGGGTGGTTTGACCTGTGGAAAGGCACATCCCTTTCTAGTTATTGCACAGTGAACCTCAGTTTTTACATCTCTATCCTAGGACTAAATTAAGACTTTTGGTCACAAAATTACAGTTGGACATTATTTCAGCTGATTATCCTCTATGACCCTGTACTCTTTTTCAGATATATGGCTTTTCAAGAGATCTTCTCTGTTCTCTAGGTTGTTTTCCTTTGTCTTAGCATAGCTTTCACTCCTTGTTCTTACATGTGTTATCTTCATATTTAGTCATATTAAAACAGATATTTGTTTGCACCAGGGTTTATATCAGTGACTATCCTTTTCAGTATTTAACATGTCTTCAACCTTTACTCTATCTGCATTCTTTATCCAATATTATTTTATTTTATGTTTTTTCCAGGCAGTGGCAAAAAATGTTAATTAGTGTAGGACCAAGAATTGATTCTTGTGTAACCCCATTAGGACTGCTGTGGCATTAATTTGCAGGTGACTTGATGGTTCAGTGACATTTATGATAAATGATGAAGAGTCGGATGTTTGTTTATGATAGCTAGTTAAAAATGCATCCCAGTGATTAAATATTTATAATGAGCTGAAGACTGTCAAACTTAATTTCACAATGAGATTTTTACATTTCTAGCAAAGGGAACCTTTAAATAACAGTCTTAAGTCAACCTCTACATGGAGGCTTTAAGTCAGCCTAGAAGCCACAGCCCCTTCCCTTGCTCGGAGTAAGCATTTTACTTAAGAATCTGAGCAAGTTTCATTTAGGGGGAAGAGTCATCAATTAGGAGGATGAGGCATAGGGATCAGTCACAGGTCTTACGAGCCTTTTGTAGTCAGCGAAGCCACTGGACACTCTGCTCCAGCCAGCACTGCAATATTGTCCTTCCTCTCCTCTCCATCTTTGCATGGTCAAAATACCAGCAAAAACACTGGGAGCAGGCTTATGGGAGGGCAGACTGGTACCAAAGTGAGAAAGGTGGGTGTGGGGATGTCCAAACTGCTAAAACGTCTTCCTTCCATTTTAGCTTCTAGCCTCCGTAGTTTATTTTTCTAGAGCACCTTGTTTACGTGAGCTGTTCAACAAAACTTAGATTAAAACTTAGATTTCATTTGCGGCAGGATCACGCTGGCGTAACTTCAGAGCACTGCAGTCTGATTCTCTGTTTTCAATAACCTAAGTTCCCAAACACCTTTGAAAGTTCTCCGTATGTTGTATCACAGAAAATATTTTTCAGCCAATTTACAAATGTCTAGCTTTACAATAGAACTTTCCCAAGTAAACACAGGCAAAAGAAGAGACAAAGAGCAACAGAAGATCCCTCCTTGTAGCCAGAGAACAGAGTGGTTATTGCTGACATGTGAAAGGTGGAGAAAATCTTCTGCTCACTGCTGAGGCTTCTAGACCAAGTGCAGATTTCAGAATTTTTCCTACCTGAATTCATCTTAAATTTTTGCATCCTCTCAAATGAACTCTAAAATCTCATTTTTACAGATGTGCATGTTCTTGATGCCATCCTACCCCGCGAATCCAGGTGAGGGACTGTAAGAGCTGTCCGTGCATTTAATACAAATCTTCAGTATGAAATGAGCTTGAACACAAACGTACATGTGTGATCAGCCCACAACTTTTCAGAACTGGCTTCTGTATACATTTCCAGCAAGCAGCGTAGAGGTGCACATTGTATGCAGAATCACTGTTATTTGGTTTATGTATATATGTTTTGGTAGCCAAGACAGTGAACCTAATCTGGTTGCTTGCACTTTCCCATTCTCATGAAAATTTCTTTGGAATCTCTTCTGAGATACTCTTCTAAGACAACTGAAAAACTCCCTATGTGGTAATAGGTGTAAGAAAGAAAACTCTTTAGATTTGGCAAAGTCTCATATGTATTTAATTTATAATTGCCACATCCATGTCTGTGACTGTGATTATTGTTATTGTTAAGTGGTGGTGTTTTGAACTATGTTGACATACTGTCTGTCATACTCACAGTCCTGGATAAAGACTGGGACAGTGCATTGTACTAGGTATTGTGACAAAAAAAACCCCACAAAACAAGGCGTTGTGACAAAAAACCTCTCTTCTCCCAGAAAAGTCAAATAGCTGAGCTGACAAATAAATGGCAGCTTAGGAAGCCCTAGGAAATAGGTTTAACTACCATCACTTTGTAACAAAATACCTTATTCCAGCACTTTCCCTCCAAAGAATGCATAGTGTTCTGAGATTTCCTTTTGCATTTCAGGATTAGGGAGCTGACTGTAAGCTGACTGTGATCTCTGCATCTGTAATGAGGCCTAGTTGGATAGCACTGAGGAACTAAGCATGTCTAGCTCTTCCATCTTTTGAAAGGTTCAAATGGCAGGAGACCTCTTCTTCTTCAAAGAAGTTGCTTCCACTGTTTTATGATATCCTGGTGGATGAGGGAGTGTGCAATCACAGAAAGCACAGTATCAGAGTTTGGCTGGCTATTTGACCAGGTCATATGGAGAGCTTTGAAAAGGCAGCTTTCATCTTCTACTGCTCAGGATTTTTTTCTAATAAGAAAAGGAAGGAAGCAAATTTAATGGAAACATAAATGTGCTGCTTCATTGTATGCGTTGCAAAGAATGGGTTTACCTGGTTGTACCACAGAGTTATCATTATTTACTCTAGCAATGTGGTTTTGGTTCAAAATGCAAAGGGTTTTTCTAGGTAAAGTGCAGATGTTGTGTATCTTTTCTCTCCTTTTATTTTTTTTTCCCATTTAATTGGGAAATGTATAATGGCAAAGGATCTGAAAATGATAACTGAAATAACTCCTAAATAAATGCAAATGAAATAATACAAATATTGGAAGGCAGCTCCTCTTTTCTCTTCTGCAGTATGAAGACATTCAAAAGACTACGTAAGTACTATTTTCCTCTCCATGGTGAAGTAGTAAAGATTGCTTTCATTTTGTATCATTCCCCAGCAGTGTTTTCAAATACGCAAGTTTTAATATGAAGAGAGCATTGCTGGATCTAGTAGGGATATGCTTAGTGTTTGCTTCATGGACAGGAGTGCTGAGCTTCTTTGTGTTTCACTTATCCCTGCTTTTTCTTTCCTGCCTTAATTTTGCAAGCAAGTGGAATACTGAAATACAAAGGACTTCTCCTGCCCTTGAAGCGAGGTGGAAGGAATAAAGGATTGTATCATTTTGTGTACTTGAGCCAATGACAAAGGCAGTGTATTCAGTTTGTTGCTGGCAAATTGCACAGATAGAGTTGCAGAATAAGTGAGAAATGTTAAAAACCAAGAATTTTTTTGAGGAGAATATGCATTTTCAATTTGCCAACGTGGATAGCG